TTTTTTTTTTTTTTTTTTGGTAAAATTATTAATCAGACTATACTTCGTGAACTGGTGAACTGTGCAATTTCCCGTGTATTTAATTTTTATGCGACAATTCTTTACTTCTAAAGATATTTTCGCTCGTATTTACTGTAATATATTATTGATTATGTCAATGTCATGTGATTCGCTACGGTGGAGTTGACCAGTACGTCGAAAAAACGTCTCTCAGTTATTTTGAAATTCAAATTACAGTAACACATTGCTTAGGCTGAGGATTACAAGCATGACGCCTTCAAAGCGACAAAGGATCGATCAAGAACGTATTGACTTCTATTTCACAATTCCACCCAACAAAAAGTAATACTCTATTACACTTTCGTGAAAAAAAAGTTCCACAGCAATATTGTTTACCTACGAAAAAATGTTTAACCCCACAATAAGCCCGTTAATAACATTGCTGAATAATGATCCCCAGTCAGTAAGCTCTAAATAGATTTAAAGTCTAAGTACGGACCATTTGATTTGAGGGGGCAGTCCGAGATATTTTAGAGAACAAATTCTGACCCTGATTTTTGCATTTAAACAAAAATTCTGGCCGTATCTGGATTGAAAAAAATAATCTTGTCCACTTTTTTGCTATAAGAAAAAAAATTTCCAGCAGAATTTTTTAGCATTAAATGAACATGATGAATAAAATCGGGCGTATTTTTTGTTTTTTTTTTTTTGGGGGGGGGGGTGCATGTAAATCTTATATCTGACCAGAATGTCTGTTTCGCAGAACTGATATACTGAATACTTTTTTCATGGCCCGACTGCAACCTACCTGCTGGGTGTGGTCTTTATGTCTCCATTTGTCGACCGTCATTCACAACTTCATTGTCATTTAAGCTCATTCGTAGCCTATGGTTGATTTGGAACCCCTCACTTCCCTTGCCAGTTTGGTGAAACATTTCAACCAAACATTTGGATAAAAATTGCTTGCTTGTCTTTCTTCGTGTCGGTCGTATTGTAAATTTCATTGAATAGCCGTATATCTTGTTTACCACAAGAAATCTGTGAGGTTATGCTAACTAACCATACACCAAACGAGAATTTTCCATGTCCATTTTTTACTGACAAATCCCACATCAAATATATTAGTACATAGCTTTGGATCCATCCAATCATTTTATAATAGACAATAAATGGGGAAAATACGGAATCAAAAATGTCTAACCTTTACACTTTAACTATAAAATATACATTTCAGGAAAAGGTCAAAAAAATAATTCTTAATATTCTACGCCCCTCCTTTCCAAAATCCTGGATCCGCCCCTGTAAACAATTTATCCTTTTTGTCCTCACGAACTATGTCAGTGCTATTTCATTCCATCCATTGAAATGATCATTACCTATGTTATACATTCACTTCATTATAAGAAGTGAACTCTTATTTAGGTTTGAATATTACAATGGGAAAGGATAATTTTGTAAGGTCACTCGAAAGTGTGAATATGTTCTAAATTGGTCAGACAATACTTGGTCATATTTTATGAAGATTTAAAGCCCTCGGCTACGCCTTGGGCTTTAAATCTTCATAAAACATGACCAAGTACGCCTTGGGCTTTAAATCTTCATAAAACATGACCAAGTATTGTCTAACCTATAATTATTGCTTGAATTATTTGCTAGTCACAAAACTGTCGTGTATTACATTTGTATTATCAAAAATTAAAATTTGTGAATGAGTACTACTTATCTTATTGTTCAAATCTGGACTTCTTTTCATTTCACCTAGTTGATTATTAGTTATGAAATTTATGGAAAATGTTATGAAGATATTGTTCCTCTAATATTATTATATAGAGGGCATGTAAATAAGAAATGAGCTTAATCTTCAACTGTGTTGAGTGAGCAAAACTTGCATATTCTATCCTGACGAGGTAATACAACCAACTTTCCTCGACTATCAAACATTCTTTCATAATGACCTCTCTCAATTCTGAGACTATGGTTACTTAGTCTAAATCTACACAATGTGAATCTTTTTTGTTGGTTTTTTATATTAACAAAATTTTCAAATGAGTTCTTCTTCATCTTCCTCGGTTACGTGCTGATGTTTACTTTCCGGCGCATTCCTGGTAAATGTTTCCAAATTTAGTAGATATTATAAAAAAAGATATAGATATATTTGTAATTTGATGGAATAATTACCTTTATTATTATGTTTTTTGTTAAGTCATGAATATAATATTTATATTATCTATTTTTACAATATTTCTTTTGTTTTTAAAATTCAGATTTCTTATTTTATTTTTCAATATTCATATATTTTTTTTTTTAATATAAGATAAAACATGATTGACTGTTTGTTTATTTCAGGTGTGGGTAAGTATCAAGGAGCATATCGTGAGTGAGTGCACCCTTAAAGGTTTCTGTAGTGGTGTTTTTGGTTATGTCAGAGGACGACAATTTGTTCCAGTCTTTAACGGTTTGACCACGGGGGAGAGGGGGGTCTCAACATTAAAATTTAGGTAACGTAATATGTTACAGACGTGATCCTGGAGTTTGAAAAACAACCCTCATTCATATATTGATTCATAAGAAAATCCCTACCCGTTCATATATGTCGTAGGAAAATTTAAATAACAACCCATTTATATATGAGGGTGTGGATGGAGTTTACAGAATAGAGAATAATGGGCAAAATATATAAAGAATATAGAAAAAAATGATCCCGCATAATTCCATTATTTCCATTCGTTTGATGTGTTTGAGCTTTTGATTTTGCCATTTGATAAATGAATTTTCCTTGGAGTTCGGTATTTTTGTTATTTTACTTTTCATTACAATCTGAAACGATAATTTATTGGAAATGGCTGGAAAGCGGATGTTGAGGGACGGATGATATTGTCTGATTTTTTGGGGAATATATATTGATATTTGCAACAAAAGTGAAACGCTGGTACAGGTATCGGAAGTCAGTCAAGGTCCTGTAAGTCTCTAGTTATTAGCGTTAATTTGTCCCTTGTTTGCATTTGTTTCTATTTATTGTCCTCTGGCGGGTTTGTCTCTGTATTTCTGTTCTTCTGGACTGACGCTTTTGTTTTTATCTTTTTCTTTATTTAACATTTTACTTCAATTGTTTCTAACTCTTTTTGGAGTATTTTATATGTTATAAAATGAAATGAAAGAAAGACTGCTTTTATATGTTATAAAATGATATGAAAGAAGGACTGCTTAACCTTCCGGAACACCTGAGATCACCCCGGTGTTTGTTATGTTTTGTGTTGCCCAGTCTTTAGTTGTCTATGTTGTGTTTTGAAAACTTGTTTGTCTTTTGGAAGTTTTTCGTTTTTGACCATGGCACTCTCAGTTCGTTTCGAGTTATGAGTTAGAATACCCCTTTGGTTATTTCTGCCTCTCTATCATAATGATTATATGAGGCACGGATTTAACCAAAATTATTGTATTTAAGCAGATCCTGATTTGGTGTTGCAAATATCAAAATATACCTAAAAAAATCAGAGACAATATCCCGAACTATCTCAGGACTTTCGTAATTCGATTTCCGGATCTAAATAATTCGATTCATGATATCCTGCAATATATCAGGACCTCTACAATTCGATTTATGACCTCCATTATTCCTAAAATCGAATTGACGCGAGCTCCTGAAATCTTTCAGGATATTCCGAAATCGAATTATTGAGGTCCTGAAATATTTTGGGAGATCATTAATGATTTATGGATATCCTGAATTTGAATTATGAAGGTACTGAAATATTCCAGAATCTCCTTAAATACAATATTTTGACAAAATCCGTGCCTCATAAATGATTCGGTACAAACAAATTTCCCTACCAATAAATGTTAAATATATATTATTTAATCTTCTCCCAAACAATTGATTGGTAGACAATTATTTGATATTTTTTGGACAGTTAGGCCCCTCAATTCCTAAGCGGATACGGTCATAACCCCCAAATTCAACCAAAACCTTCCTTTTGTGGTATGGAACCTTATGGTACAAATTTATACAAATCCATACACTTATACTCAAGTTATTGTCCGGAAACAAGAGAAATGTTTGCTTTTGGCTCAAAATTCTTAAACGGTTATAGGGCCATAACCCCCCAAATTAACCCCAACCGCTTCCTTTAGTGGTATGGAACCTTGTGGTACAATTTCACAGAGATCCACACACTTATAATCAAGTAATTGTCTGGAAACCAAATGTCTTCTTCTTCTGACGACGACGACGACGACATCGCCATATCATTTTACGGCCGCAAATTTTTGCGATCGTATAAAAACTAGCCATCAAATTGACAAAACTTAAGGATATACATACTTGAATAAACTACTCTAAAGATATAACCCGAATTGTGCGCAGTTCATACCTGCATATGTTCAAGACATGAGAATTATTGGGGACCATTTCTCAGTGTGCATAGATTTAGTTGCGAATCTAGCTACTTTCTTTTTGGGAAGCCGGTGCCTTAGAAAAAAATTGGTACAATAGTTTACAATGTGCTCTTTCCAAAAACAGTTAATTGTCCATTAGATTTTCACACCGATGGGTTTCGAGTTGCTCAGAGATGTCCTTGTTAACAGTACGTAGTTTGACAATTACAGTAGCAATGCCATCATCATCCGATTTTTTTTTCTCGAAACTTTCAAAAATTAATTGTTGACTGCCCTCGATGTCACCCACACGCCGGACGAGACAGTCGACATCAGATTTCATTTTCGACAATTTAGTCACTGCTTTTCACAGAAGATTTTATATCATCTACGGATTTCATTTTTGAGGCTAGGTCGTCTATTTCAATATGTATACGAGGAGGGGGTACGTAGTTATACCGGGTGAAGAAGATTGTTATAATTGAAAATGGTGAGGTTACTGTGAAAACATACTAACTGGTTTGGGATTTGCGATGGCAAACTACTCGCTGTTGACTAATTACACGACCCAGTACTTGAACTTGTTGTTTGTGACACACTCAAATGGTGGACGAATCTGCGAAGACAACTCATATTTTGCCTTTTTATTTTGTATTCGTTTCATCTTTGCTGGTGGCTACGTTGGTCGAGTTATTAAAATCACAAAACAAAAAGTCCATACTCAACATTCCACAACTTATATGTCAACACAGCACACAATAATCAGGAGGACAAACAACACGTCTACGTCAATACTTTTTTGGAAGGATTTCAAATAATAGTATATAAAATAAGCGTGGGAATCAACTTTGATATCAATACAATTAAAGATTGAGATTGAACACGAGTGCGGCCACTTCTATTTTAGACAGAACCATCTGAAAAGTGACGTTTGGTTACTTATTTGATAGATTTTTCATATCTAAGCTTGAATTTGAACGTCTTTTAAGACCAAATCAGTTCATATATTTTACAAAACCTAATTGAATCGACTAAAGTAGCACTTTTAAGTGTTTAAAAAAATGTCAAAATTCTTTCATCAGATGTACTTCAAAATTTTAGGCCAAACATAGCAGTTACCGGACCTTCTCCTTTGATATATACCTTTCATCATTAATTCATATATTGATATATATAAATCTTTCGGCCAGGTGAGCTAAAAAAAGGCATCTTATAATTAAATATGAAATAGTTAAAATAACTAGCTTTTGCATAGACATATATGTATACACAAGCATAGTGTTTGTTTTAATTACTGGATTTGATCTTTGCAATAACATATAGGTTTGAGCTTTTGATATCCAACACAATGTGACTGGGTTCTATATTTGTTTGTTCTGCTTACATCACCTAAAAGCTTTATACTGCTTCTATCAGAAATATCTGTAAAGCGTACTGTTGCCTCAAAAAGTGCAAGACCTGGAGACGTTTGAAGCAAAATAAGATAACGTTGTTCAGTCTGTTTTTCTGGAGAATAAAAGAAATTTAACACAGACGTCCGACCAAACTCGGCATGATTCTCTAGACCAGATTCTATCTTTTGAGCATCGATTATTTTGAATAAACTTAACTTTGAACATTTGTCTTTAACTTCTGCAAGTTTCTCGTTGATTGAGTTTACAGCGAATTCAGACAATATCTTTACAGTATTATCGTTCACAGAAACGTTCCGGGCAGTGTAGCAAGCACAAAAATGTTCGGCTATAGAGGCATCTGCGCATGTTCTGTCCTTAGGAATATTTCTAAATAAACTAATTCCTCGTGGGTATGGGCGAGATGTTATTTTGTATTTTTCATTGAAATCTCTATTGACAATATCCATTAATGTTTCATGGAGATCATATGGAGATGTCAAGCGATGTGTATTTTCCTCCAGATTTTTCTCTAAATGAGGATGTTTCTGTTTTAAAAGTTCAGGTAACACAATACTTAGTAATGGCATACGTTCTTCTATCCTTCCTATTGCAGTATTTCGAATTTCCTCGTTTCTTGGACCATGGTCACTCATAAAAATGAGAACAGAGTTTTGTAAATGACCGTATTCCTGAAGCCATTTGAAAAAGTTCACGGTATCATCGTCTACTAGTTCAAGAAAGTTCATAAACTCATGGGTCATTTCTGTTAGCCATGAGAAGGAAAATTTTGCGTAATGTTTGTACGTTGATATAAATTGCTTATAATGCTCCATATGAAGAACATGTTTGGGACGATCTTTGTAACATAAAGGGGAATATTTTCCAAGCTTAATGTTATGATTCTCTAAATACATCAATACTTTAAACATTTCTATATTAGTCTGTACGGGACTAACTTTCTTCTGAGCAATATAATATGGTCTTAAGTAATGATCTGCTGGTGGGTCTCTAAACCCTTTCATGTTGTTAGCAAATATAGATATTTCTGGATAGTCTTCACTGTACATCGTCACATAACCTCGCTTTGAACATTCCTTCCAAATGAACGGATATGGGTCGGTAAATTCTGACTTAAGATTGAGAGAAGGAAGTTCGGAACTGTATGATTGTTTTCCAGTAAGAACAGCAATTAAATTTGGATATGTATTGCCTCCTATCATTGTATATCCTTGCAATGTTGAACCATTAAGCTTCTTGTTGATAAAGTTCATTGTCTTTGGTAGTTTCCTTTCAGCAGCTAACCTTGAGACCGAATCATATCCGAAAATAAACAGGTTTAAAGTTTCCTTCGAGTCTTTTATTCCATTTTTATTTTTTAGAACAGTTTTGCTGTCTATATTAAAAAGAATTCTGTCTACAACTACTCCACTTTCTGTTTTGCAAATAACTTGAATTAAATCAGCAGGAATGTATACTGGAGGTTTGAACTGTATTTCTGGTAAAAAAGAAACATCATTTTCTCCATTGCGTTCTATAATGCGGTATGAGCACTCTAAATTGGAAAGTTTTAAACGTTGTTTGAGCGATATATTCAACCGAAGTAATCCTGTGTAGTCTATAAATACCAATGAAGGGATAAGATCACAAGAAATTGGTTTAGGGTGGTAGATAAATTTCATGATTGAGCTGTCGAAAGGATTCAGGTCGGGTAATGTACAAGTCGTGTTCACATTTTGGTGAATAAAAATTAACTGGACCGGCTGGAAAAATTTGTTCAGATAGTAGAGACATGTAACACTTGCAACAAGCAAAAAGAAACGGTTTCTTAATATAGCTTCTATCTTCCTCTTAAACATATTCTTTCCCTGATCTTTATATGCGTGACATCCATCCTACAATATAAATTTAAATTTTTTTGACTAAATTAACAAAAAATATTTGAATTATTAAATATAATAAACTGCTTCGCCAAGCGCAGCTGGATACGACCGCAGAGGTCCAACCCTGAACAGTTGGGTCAAAAATGGACACAATATTCAAGCTTGATACAGGTCTGAATTAGGATTGTAATTAAATATTTGACACATAGGTTTCTGACACAGAATAAATGTAGTCAAAGAACTTGAAATCGGTTGTATGATTTGAATTTATATTCAATTGAAGATTTCTTGCTGTTGTGCAATACACTGTGCTGTTGCACAATACTTAGTAAATCTGTTTTCAGACTATATACAAAGAATTAGCAAAATAAATTGTGAACACTAATTTTTTTTCCTTGGAAATTGAAGAAATTTTCTTTTTGTAAAATGTGGTACAAATTAAGAGACAAAGAGACATCCATACACTTAAACACAAGTTATAGTCTGAAAATTAGAAAAATGCTTGTTTTAGACCCTTATTGGCCCCTAATTCCTGAACGGTTTGGGCAATTACCTCCAAAATGAATCCCAACCTTCTACTTGTGGTACATACGACGTCTTATATCACCCATGTTGACCCCTAAAGATATCTAAAGTTAAAAGCCTATATGAATGTTCATATTGATAAAATGTAAGGAGCATATGCAGTCATTCGTGAGCTATATCCAAAAATAGTCATCTGACTTTCAACCCGAAAAGGACACACTATGACTATAAGTGTCATGTTGAAAGACAGAGATAATGCTATTATACATTTTGTGACAACTGTAACACACCGGGTACCCCGATCCGAAATCCCGGCATGGAGGTGTTACGAAATAGAAGTTCCTTCATAATATAAGTTCCAAGTGGAAGAAATATTCTGTAATATTATTTCCACTGGAACAAATATTACAGTAGAATTGAGAATGGAAATGGGGAATGTGTCAAAGAGACAACAACCCGACCAAAGAGCAGAAAACAGCCGAAGGCCATCAATAGGTCTTCAATACAGCGAGAAAATCCCGCACCAGGAGGCGTGTTTCAGCTGGCCCCTAAACAAAAATATGTACTAGTTCAGTAATAATAGACGTCATACTAAACTCCGAAATATATAAAAGAAACTAAAATTAAAAATCATACAAGACTAACAAAGGCCAGAGGCTCCTGAATTGGGACAGGCGCATAAATGCGGCGGGGTTAAACATTTTTTTTGAGATCTCAACCCTCCCCTATACCTCTAGCCAATGTAGAAAAAACAAACACAGTGACACAGCAATACGCACAGTAAAACTCAGTTTAAAAGAAGCCCGAGTCTGATGTCAGAATAAGTAACAAAAGAAGCAATTATATTATAGTAAATAAAATGACAATGATACATAAATTAACAAAGGACTACTAGCAGTTACTGACATGCTAGCTGCTGACCTTAATTAAACTGATTGAAAGATTATGTCTTCATTATATGGATATCAAGCACAATCCCTCCCGTTAGGGATTTAGTATCATACCATCATAAAATATATGAGAAGAACATAACCCGTATCATGCCAACAATTGGTTTTAGAATAAATGTGTTAATTTCCGATGCAAAGACCCTATAAGTGAATCAATATTAAAGCCAAAATATGCCATCTTTAATGACCTGTAAACAGTATCGTAACTATATCCTTTCTTAATAAGTCTGTTTAAAGGTTTTGTTAGCTTTAGAGGTGAATGCCGACATCTTTGTGCTTTGTAAAGAATATTACCATAAAAGATTGGATGTGAAATACCTGAACGTATAAGATGTCTGCATGTTGATTCATATTTACGAATGATGTCCTTGTACCGATGATAAAATTTAGTAAATGTTTTGACTAGTTTGTGATATCGATAACCCTGGTGTAATAATTTTTCATTAATACATAGATTTCTTTCGCTAAAATCTAATACGTTGTTACATACACAAGCGAATCGTACAAGTTAAGATATATAAACACCATAAGATGGTGACCTTGGAACGTCACCATCTAAAAATGGATAATTAACAATAGGCAATGAAAAGTCATCTCATTTATCATAAATTTTGGTATTAAGCTTACCGTTAATGATATATATATCAAGATCTAGGAAAGGGCAGTGTTCCTTGTTAGTATTAGCTTTATTTAAGGTTATAGTTCAACAGGATAAATTTCTTTAGTGTACATACTGAAGTCGTCATTATTGAGAGCCAATATATCATCCATGCAAATATCTAAAATTATTATTAAATTTTTGTATCAGATGTGGTTTTGACGGGTCTTTGCTGATTTTAGTCATAAATTGTAACTCATAACAATACAGAAACAGGTCCGCAATAAGTGGTGCACAGTTAGTCCCCATTGGAAATCCGATAACTTGACGATATACGGAATCTCCAAAGCGAACAAAAATGTTATCTTGTAAAAATTCAAGGGCAGTTATAGTATCAAAGCATGTCCAATTGACATAGATCTTTTGTTTGTTGTTACTAAAAATGACCTAAAAGAGTTTGAACATATATATTCGCATTCTGACTTTTAAAATGCCCATTTAATTAGGTGTGTGAACTTTTTCTTAATAAGAATATGAGGCAAAGTGGTATATAGGGTAGAAAAATCAAAACTTTGAACAGATTCAAAATCACCAATATAAGCATGCAACTTATCAAGTACTTCCAACGAATTTTTTACACTCCAAAAGTAATTAATTCCACTATTTTCAAAGGCCTTATTTGAACAATTTATTATCAGGATTTTGATTGTACCAAGTGTACTAGTAAGTAGAATAGCCAGTTTAGTAGTGGAACAATGGCTTGAAGACAATGATTCAGATTTAACTTACCCACCGTTACAAACTTACATTGATTGATCCTCGGGATTCGGATCCCTCCGCGGTTTCGGATCGTGATACCTGGTGTGAGTATAATCTGACACACAAAGTCAAAGCAATATATAGTGTTACATAAATAACCAGGATGGTTCATCTTTCTCAAAATGGCACAGATATGTTGGCATCTAACATTCGTGATGTTATAAATTCTGCTCTAGATTTGCCGAAACGTACCCGTCAGCAAATTTCAAATCGACACGAGGCAAAAACTACCAACATACAGGTAGAAATGGCGAAAATGGGCGTGGACGAAGATATTAGCAGATATTTTTAAATTGTTTACTTTTTTCCAGAGACATGTATATACTGTGTATATATATATGTCTCTGCTTTTTTTCCTTGCAGTTAATTGGTTGAAATTGTAAAATTAACATTTTAACCAAAATCCTATTAGTATTGTTTATTCTTTCATACTGCCAGGAACATATATATTGATCTACTGTTCCCAGATACTGCTTGTAAAGATATTAGTACATACAAATTTAAAGTGGATTTAAAAAGATGTCTACAAAATGAACACTGGAATGGAAAATATTTTCGTGATCACAAATAAACGTACGTGAAAAAACTGTCAAAATAGCGGGTGCAATTTGGGTACCCGCACGTTATATATATATTTATGTACGGCAGGCGTATGAATTTTCGAGTAAAGGAAGCGGGCTGATTGTACTAACAATAGAGTTAGAAGTTCCGTTAGTATTTAAAGTCGTGCGTGCACGAGAAAAGTTATCGACAAGGGCGGAGACCATCTAACGAGTAATACGTATTTGTGTATAGGGAGAGATATGTCAGACAGTGAAGTAGCCAATAAGGAGTCAGTTGAACCAGACAGAAATTCCGACGAAGACGTAACTAATGCAGATTTGTTTTCCTTGTTCAAGACTTGCATGAACGGCAAGTTGGCTGGTATTGAGAGAAACTTTGCCGACAAAACTCACAGTCTGGCTAAGAAGGTGAAGAATGTTGAGACAACGTTTCGTTTCAAAGGTAACCAGATACAATTTGAATTGAATTCTGACATAGTAGACAGTATTGAATGAAACGTTGCGTACATTGATAGTAAAAGGCCAGCTAGAGCTACGAAGCTTCTTGAAGAGTCGATTCATACACTTAAGAAGCGTAACAAGCTGATCCGGATAGCCGATAAGTCGGAGGGTGGCTGGAACACGGTTCAAGAGTATCTTTCAGATGATGTCGCCAGTAATTCAGAGGATGAAAAACGTATCAGAGCGGCAGAAAGTCGAGCAGTTAGGAAGATCAAGTCGGCAAAGACGGAGAAAAAACAAGGCAGTAAAAGACCCGCTGAAGCAGCAGGAGCACTAAGTCAAGGTACGCATAACGGCGGGAGCTTTATTCCTACTATTTCTACACAACAGCCCTTTCGTAGCAGCCAGGGCCAAGCTGGCCCCAGTAGACAAGCTAAGGCCGGAGACATGTGCTAGTCATGTGCCAACTTCGGGCACTGGGCTAGAGATTGCCGAGCTAAGGACAAAAAATCTGGATACAGAGGAGGTGCCGTTTAAACAGTATGGACCACACAGTGACATTTTTCAGGTACATGATAATTTAAACATGTTTAGCTCTTATTGTGATTATGAAGAGGGTTTCAAAACTATTCATGTAAAAGGTAGATTACAAAAATCTCTTAATATTTGGCAAAATATTGGAGCGTCTAATTGTATTCTTGATGTAATTGAAAATGGGTATAAAATTCCAATGAGAAATGAACCAGATAGTATAATTTTACAAAAAAATAAATCTGCTTTCAAGCATGACAAATTTGCAGATTCAGCAATTGAAGATCTTGTTATTTCAGGGTCAGCTGAGGTCGTTTCGGTAAGACCACATGTAATAAATCCGTTAACGGTATCTGTCAGTTCGAAAGGTAAGGAAAGGTTAATATTGGATTTACGTCATGTCAATAAGTATGTAGTTTTGAGTAGAATTAAGTTTGAAGATTTGAAAACAGTCAGTCAATATATTAAGTCTGAGTGTTTTGGTTTTATATTTGATTTGAAGTCGGGCTATCATCACATAGACGTCTTCAATTCACACAGACAATATTTAGGTTTTCAATGGAAAAACAAGTTTTATATTTTTACGGTACTTCCATTTGGTCTGAGAATAAGCGGTTATATATTTACTAAAGTTATCATACCGTTAGTAAAAAATTGGCGGGAAGACGGGATAAAAGTGGTTGTGTATTTAGACGACGGGTTTGGTGTAGTCGAAACGTCGGATATATGTACTTTACATTCTCAAAAAGTGAAAACAGACCTATTTAATTCGGGGTTTGCACCTAACAAAGATAAGTGCAACTGGAACCCATCTCAAGATTTGAAATTGGGAAAACTTTCAGTTCCAAACAAAAAACTTTGTGATATTGTTCAGTTATGCTATTTATTACAAACAGGTTTACGAGTTAAAATCAGAGATTTAGCCGGATTTTGCGGTAAGATTATCTCATTGAAGCCTGCTATTGGCAATGTAACACAGATTATTACGAGAAATATTTTCTCAGTGATCAATCAACGTGAACATTGGGATCAATTTGTAAACATTTTTACTTTCCCAGATTGTATTGAAGAGTTGAGATTTTGGCAAGAAAATATTTTGTCGCTAAAACCTTCTGAATTGTTTAAAATTTATTCAAATTTTCATGTATTTACGGATGCGAGTGATACAGGCGCTGGTGGTTTTGTCTCAGATTCAGCTTATATTTTTCACAAGATGTGGTTAAATCATGAGAAATTTAGAAGCTCCACATGGAGAGAGATTAAAGCGATACAAATTTGCTTGAAATCTTTAAATAAAGTACTTAGAAATAGTACGGTTACAGTACACACAGACAATCAAAATGCTGTGAGTATAGTGCGGAAAGGCAGTAAGGTTCCCGAGTTACAGAACTTAGCATTGGTCATTTTTAACATTTGTGTTTTACATATTTCTTTACACGTACTTAATTTGGTTCCCTCGGGAGCAAAACGAAAAAGCTGATTTATTAAGTAGAATAGTAGATGTAGATGATTGTGGTGTTTCCACTGATTTTTTTTAGATTTCTTGATTGATGTGGGGCCCACACAGTTTTGATAGATTTGCGAACACTGAAAACGCAAAAACTGAAAAATTTAGTTCGATTTATTGGAACCCCGGTACATCAGTTGTAGATGCTTTCACATGTAACTGGTCTTGTGAAAACAATTGGTTAGTACCTGCAGTTTCGCTAGCATCTAAGACAATTAACCATTTAGTTAAATGCAGAGCAAAAGGTACTTTGGTTGTCCCTAGATGGCCTTTGGCCTTTACTGTTTTATGTGAAGGAATACGTGGAAGACGTATTAGAATTTCATGAGAACGAAAGAATATTTGTACCTGGGAATAACTTGAATTCTAATTCGTTGTAGTTGCAAACGGAAAATTTTCCGGTACAGTTCTAGCAGTAAAACTGAATGCTTATGTTTAAAAACTTTATTGTAGAAAACGTTCGTCACTGGACATGGTATTATTTGGTCATTGGACTATGTTTATACAGATGTATTTTGTCACCGGACCTACTTTTGTAGTGTACTTGGTCACTGGACCTCTGAGATGTACCTTTTTAGGTCATTGGACCTTTTTTGTGTTCACCACTAGGTGACAGTTGGTCAATGGACCACACCTGACCATATTTATATATTTTAGTCGATTCAATGTTTTCGTTAAAATTTTTAAAGAAGGTTTTTTTTTCATCTGGTTTTTGGAATAATAGTGACCTTGTACAAGTTCAGAATTGAAAAGACTTTTGTCTCATTTACGTTCCATAGTAATTGACTCGAGAGCAAAGACTACTGTTTCCAAGTATGCTTTCGGTTTTAAGATGGTCACCGCACCTGACAGTCTCTATAATGGTGTTTGTCTTTATTAATACAGAAATAATTTCATTGCAAATATTTGAGACATACGTAATTATTTTTCGTGGCTGGTATTAGGGTCGTCAGAAAATTAGAAGCCAAGAGTACATAAATGATTTATTTTCGGTTGAACAGAGTGAATTGAGAAAATAATTATAGATAAATGATTAATTAATTATTAATTAAAATAATAATAATAACAATACGGCCAATGACTCCTATGATGAAGAGTGAGACACACTATTACTTGCAGTACTATAACACATGTGTTATAGTAGTCTCAGAGTACATGTAGTTATTAAAACGATACCATTTCTAGTACATATATGTCACATCGTAACCAACGAAGATCCAGTTCGATCAATAATGATGAAGCACGTATATACAGCAATAATGGTTACTAGTCTACATAACGTTTACTGAATTCTCATAGTTATCAATACTTACAAATGTATGCTCTCCCTTGTAACATACGGGTATCAGAAATATATTTATCGTATCGCATCATGTTACACTCACATAAATTACACACTACTTTTTCCATAATAATACACATAGCCCCGCAGGAATATGTGAGGGTCTCGGCGCGGAGGAATGTCATATTCTGCATTGTTCTGATAATTGATTATATCCCCAGGGAAACCGCATGTTCAAGGACATTGATGGTGAATTTGTTTGTTGTAAATCATAAACTTAATATCACAAAATGTGCAAATCTCTTGATGTGATAACAAGTGAGGGTGGACATGGGAGCACTTCATACAAGTTAAAATTTTAAAGGACAAGATATAAAGATAAGATAACTTTATTAGCACTAACACATTAACAATAAATGGTTATGGCAACAAAATACAGGAAAACTACAAATAACATATGTACAACGAAGGAGTGACAGTGGATAAGTATGAGAAAAATATATATATAAAAAAATGACAATCGAGTTTATTGTACCTTTTGACAATGAGTTTCTCACCAACAAGCATTCATTCAAATAGTTCACAACAATTGTTAATACTGTTGGGGAATTACTATTTAGAATTGATATAAGCAAGTTATATGATAAAGATTCTTAGAAAGTAATTTGTTGTTCAATAGAACATTATTTAATTTTTTAATGAGGTTATCTCTCAAATATTTCAGTATAGGAAGAACATTTTAAAAGAAAATGTAGTTCATCTTCAATGTCTCCATTGTTGCAGCAAAGACATATCCTAATCTTCTTCGGTATATTTAAATATCGCCCTCGTTCAACAGATAAAGTATGACCACTTATCCTTAACTTACACAATGTTGATCTATCACATTTGGATTTGCAATGATCAACATATGAGGGTCTTATATTTGGTTTATATAGTATATTAAAGACTTTTAATTATATTTTAATATCAAAAGGATTAAGATTAATAAAATGAAATCCAAGTTTTGAAATAAATTTTTTCATATTTATTATCCATGGGTTTTTTCAGTTGCTTTGTATATTTTTGGGGCAAGAGAATTATTTGACTCTAGTATATGGAGCCAATACTTTATTGCTGAAAATTCTATTCTGGTATATAAAGGCAATCTATTCAGCTCGGCTAAACATGTAGCATTTGATGCTTTGCAATGTACTCCTAGAATTTCTTTAATAAATTTAAACTTCAAGGGAGTCAAATAATGTTTCTAATAACTTGTATTGGTTATTTAGTTCAACTGGTTTTTTTTATATTCTAAAAAGGGCATTTCTGCCCTAGTTTCCGCAAGCAATGAGCTGCATAGATTTTAGATTCCCTGTATGCTGCAGTGTCATGCCAAGATAGCAGTATGATTTAACTGTTTCAAGGAACTCATTATTATATTTAAAAAAAAATATTATGGGTTTTGCCATTTGAGTTAAATATAATGATTTGTTTATGCTTACTTCTATAGTTTCCAAAATTGACAAAAATCACTAAGAGCATTTAAAGCTGTTTGCAATCCCAACGACATGAAGAGTGCATATGAAATGGGAAAAGTATGAATATAATAGAAAAGAATATTTTTATTCATCAACTTAGGGTACGAGGAGGGCATATGGGTTATTTTCAAAATTTGCCAGTATTTTCAACTATAGAAGATGAATATGTGATAGGGTCGTATATATAAGGGCTTCATAATCTCCAAAGAAATTGGTTAAGTTTTAAAAATACAAAGTAGAACATAAAAAGGATACTATAAATCGATGCCACAAATACGGATTTATTATGATAATTAAATTTGGTTTTCCTTTATACATATTGCGAGGTAAGTTCTACTACTTCCAGAAGATAAGTAAGTAACAGGTCCGTGATCAATGGCGGAAATCATGTTCAAAGACCAGAAAAATACCAGTCGAGAGAATGTTAAATTTCGCGAGCCGTAAGGCGAGGGAAATTCATTCTCAAGACTGGTATTTTTCGCAAATACCCCTCAAGAACATGCTATATCTGTTTTTAATTACACCTTATGTAAGAATCCTGGGTTTTGATTGGTTGATAGCCAGTGTATTTTTCACCAATTTACTGTTATCAAATGAATATCGTTCATTTTTTAACGCCGCCGGGGTATATGCAAAAAGGATATGCCTTTTTTACCCTCTCTACCATGGTATTTGCCATAAAATACTCTACACCAAATGTTAACGTTCAAAAACGCATTGATGATCGTGACGTTACAAGCGTCCAGTCGGATAGAGTATTTTTTGGCAAATACCATGGCAGAGAGGGTAAAAAAGGCATATCCTTTTTGCATATACCCCGGCGGCGTTAAAAAATGAACGATATTCATTTGATAACAGTAAATTGGTGAAAAATACACTGGCTATCAACCAATTAAAACCCAGGATTCTTACATAAGGTGTAATTAATTAAGAAGACTACGGAATATGACGTCCATACTTGATTTATAATACATGTACTCGATTTTGAGTTATTTATAGGAAAAATAAAATGTGTTTGACTTTGTCGAAATATTGGTAAGAAAAAACACGTCAATGTGCGGATACACCCTCTGCATAACGATCAACTACTAAAATAGTATAACAAAAATATTGAACTCACTGAGGAAAATCCCTAAAAGGGGAAGTTCATAAAAACCGACAAAATCAAACGTTATCAATCAACCGAACAAGAGAAAAACAACTGCCATATTCCCGACTTGGAACAGGCATTTTCCGAAGAAAATGGTGGGTTAAACCTGTTTTTATAGCTAGGAAAACCTCCCACTTGTATGACAGTTGTTTATTGTTCGGTTATATTACAAAATTGGATAAACAAACCAAACAGACATCATTAAAACGTTTAAACCCGCTGCAATTGTTTGCACCTGTCCTAAGTCAGGAACCTGATGTTCAGTAGTTGTCGTTTGTTGATGTGGTTCATAAGTGTTTCTTTTTTTTTTTATATAGATTAGACCGTTAGTTTTCCCGTTTGAATGGTTTTGCACTAGTAATTTTTGGGGCCCTTTATAGCTCAGTTGCTGTTCGGTGTGACCCAAGGCTACGTGTTGAAGACCTTACTTTGACCTATAATGGTTTACTTTTATAAATTTTGACTTGGATGGAGAGTTGTCTCAATGGCACTCATACCACATCTTCTTATATCTATATAATAGGTTAATGTAACAATAATTGGGAACCAGCAATCAAAACTGTGTAAACATACATCACAGACATACAACACAACTGACTAAACATACAAATTAATCTAACAATATTAGCTAAACTAACTAAACGATAGCTATAGTTATGTAAGGGAACGACCATTTAACTTCAAGGAGGGAAGGGGGGTTATGGTTTTTTACTAAAAAAATATTCGGATCCCCAATTTGATGAAAAAAAATATTCTGGTCAAGCAGATGACCAAAAAAATATTCTGAATCCAGATTTTCCCCATACCTTATAGTGTTAGTTATTGAAAAAAATAATTTGATTGATAACGTTGAAAACTAAATAAAATTTTCTGACTCGGACAAAAAACCATACCCCCCCCCCCCCCACCCCCTTGAAGTTAAATGGTTGCTACCTAATTAGTCGTTAGTGGTATGTAGTTGACATAAATCTTGTTTGATACATGGATTTCTCAACTTTAATTGTTTGTCATTTAAAAAAGCATTGCACATATTTCAGAGTTTAGTAGTCTGTTCGGGATCAATTTGGCATTATAGAAAAATAAGGAGATGCGGTATGATTGCCAATCGAACAAGTATTCAGAAGAGTGCATATGCCGTTGATGTGAGCACCTATAATGTATAGGTCAGCGTACGGCCTTCAACAGCGACCAACGATAGCAACTGATTTAAAGGTTCCTGACTGGGGACAGACACATATAGAATGTGGCGAGATATGCATGTTTGTGAGCGCTCATTTCTCCATGTAGGCTTGGACAGTGATGTAACAGCACAACGTATGAACAAACTGTAAAAATAAGTTTGAAATTTCTTTACATTCAAAAACTTGAAAGGTTACTGTCAGTCATAAAACCATCATGCTAAAGGTAAGCTAGTACATCTACTAGGTATTCCTTTAAGTGCTTTATAAGTTGGAGCCAAGTAAATTTTGGCTATTTTCATACATTTACTTTCATTTACTCTAGAAGCAATCGAATAATGTTTAATTGATGGTTCGAAGTATTTGTGGAGAAGGTATAAAAAGTCATCAAAGATAACACTACACTACTGGCAAGTCCCTCAGTTCTGAAGAGGTTTGTCGTTTTCTTTTTTGAAGTGAACATTTTTTGAACCTGTATACAATGCTTACAATAAAATTCAAAGAAATATGGATAGCTAGTTTAGAAAGCAATTTTGCATGGTAATAGTACCAGTATACAGTAAGGCCATCAATTAAGAACTTACAGAAAATTTAAAAATATTTTTATGTTTGAACCATATTTAAGAATAAATTAAAAAAAACCATGCAAATAATTACTACAAGATTTATATAAGTATGAAATTTGAAGACAGAAAGTGTAAGCTATTTAAGCGAACAAAACATGTTTAAACTAAAGAGTTCAACAGGATCTCGATTTTTCTTAAATAGTCCGGTATAACAAAACATTAATTCAACAGTTATTTCGGGACATGACCATTTAATTTTTCCATCGACACAAACTATTTCCCTCCGCGGGGCGACGGGAAATAGTCAGTCTCGGGGGAAAATAAAATGGCTATATCACTCAATACTGTTATATAACTAAATAATATGCTATGGAATATACATGTTGTTATGCTGTAACAAAGAACAAGTTATTGTAGCATATATAAATGAACAGTAACATGAATATGTCGAAATCAATCCGAGGACTTGAACCAACTAGTAAACACACTATCATTTCTTCTCTTACTGATGCATTGAACAAACTAGCTTGTATGCATGAATAATATGTTGGTGTCAGACAAGTGATATAAGTTGTATATATGCAAATACATACTTTAATTTTCTGAAATAGTATGGTTGCTATACAAAATACAAGTTGCTAGGTAGTTTCTAGGGAAAATATGAGTCTGAAACTAATGCAGGGACAAACTTGTTTGTATGCATGAATAATATGTAGTTGTCAAGCATGATATTCAAGTTGCATATGAAAATACATGCATTAAATGCGTGAAATAGTATGGTCTCTAGGCAAAATATCCCCTACTATGCAGATGCTAAGCATAATACATTAAGTAACTCTGTTTAACT